AGTGGAATGGGGGATTGATTTAGCTTCAGAGCATGAAAGGTTTGTGAACTCCGATGCTTTTCATTTACATTCCACTTGAAACAATGGTGATTATTTTTCTACTTCCTTGCTCAGATACTTGACTGAGGTAGTGTTTAAAAAGCCTGTCATTGTCTATAACTATCCAAAAGGAATCAAAGCATTTTATATGAGGCTCAATGACGACTCGAAAACTGTAGCTGCAATGGATGTTCTTGTACCAAAGGTAGTTAAGTTATCTGTGATTTGTTTCATCATTTTTGACCTTTTGTTTGGAAAAGCATTGAATTCTTGGCTCTATTGAAGGTTGGGGAGTTGATTGGTGGAAGCCAAAGGGAGGAGCGGTACGAGGTTATTCGTGACAGGTAGAAGAACAATACATAGTGTTCCTATTGTTTCCCCTTAGAGTGAAATTTTGAAGGCTGAATTCTTTTTCCCTGCAGGATCAAGGAGATAGATTTGCCACTTGAGCCATACGAATGGTATCTCGATCTGAGACGATACGGGACAGTGAAGCACAGCGGTTTTGGCCTCGGCTTCGAGCGAATGCTTCTTTTTGCCACTGGCATTGACAACATCAGAGATGTTATACCCTTCCCCAGATACCCAGGACGAGCAGACCTATGATCATATATATTTACACTAAAGAGATATGTTGTTGGGTTTTAATTTATGCTCATAAATTTTGGATTGGTGGGTTTATTTTATACAGAAACTATTGCATTTCAAATGACTTAAATTGGTTTGATGTGTTAGATATTTTGGTACTAACAGATTTTAATTTGTTTACAGAGAAGATTGTAAAAAGAATGTAAAAGTGGATCAATGTCACAACAAGAGTCTGTTATGGGAGCGATTACTTCTACATTCATTTCACGTAAGACCCTAATTTTGCTTATGAATTTTTCGTTGAACTTTACTCGAATTTATTCCTTTTAGATTCATTCACTTTTAGCATTTTAAGGATTAAAATGAATATTTTTAAAGTTTAGAATATAATTAAAGCTAACTTCAGAGGTAGATGGGTTGTAAAGTATTTTTTTTTCCCCTTTTAGAGAATATATAACCCTTTTAATTGATGGAGAAGGATTTAGGATCGTTCACCATTACAGTCTCGATAGGAGGAAAAGAATTGGGGCGAGCCTATGTGATTTGGGAGCGAGCATAAACATAATGCCTCTATCAATTTACAAAAAGAGGTGGGTATTAGAGAATCTAGACACACAACAGTAACACTGTAGCTAGTAGACCGTTTGATTGCCTACCTTGAAGGAAAAATGAAGATATATTGAGTATAAACATAATACCTTTATCATTATTTTGGACTACGCAGATCATTTTAAGTAGATCATTTTTTAAAGTTGGTGGAACTCTAGTAGATGCATACAAGGGCACAATTATATTAAGCATGAATGACCAACCAATAAAATTTAACATGAACGAGGGTATGAAGTATCCACAAAGCCCCCTAGGGTCGATGGTGTCCTCCTTATAATAAGTTTTAAAATATTTCTAATCTTTCTAGAGTAGACATTGTTTTGGCAAGTGATCATACTGCCCTGTAGTGCATCTGTTGAATATTCGATTGACATCAAATTTCGTTATCTTTCGTATAGACGGACATAATTCAAGATTTGCATGTCAAAACTTATATCAAAATTTCAACTTCTAAGATTATGACTCGGGGCCCTACGCAGCCCTCTCTAAATTTCTCTTCAACACTCATGTCGCTTCGTTTTCTCCAACCTTGCTTATGTCTCAGCTTTGCTTTAATGCACTCTTCTTGGTGTGTGGTTGATGCATTGTCCATCTCGATCACATTAGGCCACTTGTCTTGTTTTGATCCTCACATGGCTAGATAGGTGCCATTTGAGAGTCCACACTTTGTGTTGTGTCCGCATGTGGGGGCCACAACCTATGGTCTTCATAGTGAGGTTAACTTAAACTAGTCATTTTCCTTGATGAGTTATTCAATGGCACGATTCGTGGATTATGACTCTCCCACTTAATCTCAATATTGTCCCAACGACGATCCAAATATAGGATTGGGTGCTAACTTGATTCGCTGAACTTTATCGCTCCCCATAATAAATACGAAAACCTGTGCACTATTTACGGGCTATCCCATTATCAAACTTTATTTCGGTCTCCGAGATTCGCAACATAAACACTGCTGCCTAATGGTTATGGGCTATCCTAGTGGGAGTTAACTTGTCCATTTCTTAGAATCGATATGGGACTCACCAGACAAACCATAACAAAACTAGCATCGGCATTCCACACCTTGGCTAGGGGAGTGTGCCCCGAACGTGGCCAAACTTTGGCCTCAATGGCCTCAACCATCATATTATTTGAGCCGTACAAAGATATGTATGACAACATTTCATGGTTAAGGCCACATTCCTTTATCGTTGCAAAGTTGGCTTGTGTATCACGACATTTTCTTGTCATGATCACATCTCTTTTTCAGAAGCAAGGTCTGGAAGCTTGTAACATAACTCCGTATTGGCACTACACTTCAACCAACTTCTCATTTGCCCACCTTTATGTGAAAAACGTGCATTGACACTTCTCTAATTTTGTTGCAATTTTATTCTTCAAGTCACTCACGTGTAGCCTGATGTTCTCTTTCTCGGGCAAGTGCTAGTCTTGACACTCTTATGAAGCCACCCACCCTTATTGAGTATTTCTTAAAATACTCATTCCAAAAGGCAAGACACTTCTACACATTGATGATGACATTGTACTAAAGACCATGGTTTTTTTTCTCATTGTTCTTTTAATATTTTTTCTTTGTCTTATTTTAGTTTACTAAACACATAAGTCCATGACATCGTTTTATGAAATTATTTATGTACATGGTATTGGTTCAAACAATAAATTTGGGTTGATTTGGTCAAATTAAACTAATTTGAGCCGACAAACCAACCCAATTTATAAAATTTTAATTTATTTGAATTCATTTTTAATTTATTTGAATTCAATCTAAAAGGAGGAATTTGTAATGGGAAGAGTCGGTCAAATAACCCATCATTCATTTTCTCTTGTATACTACCAAGCCAAGTAAGGCAAGTAAAGCTAAGCAACTCAAAAAGATTCAAGAGAACAATTTTTTTTATGGTGCATTTTAAAGTTTTTCTCTTTAAAATTGTGAGATTTAGAGTATATTATTACGTTTACAAAGTAGTGGTGTTAGAATGAAGGGTCACGTTGAGTTGACGAAGAAGTAGAGGTGTTAGAATGAAGGGTCACGTTGAGTTGACGAAGAAGTAGAGGTGTTAGAATGAAGGGTCACGTTGAGTTGACGAAGAGGTAGAGGTAGAGGTCACGTAGATTTCTAAATAATTTTCTACAACTACATGTGCTAGATGATAAGTTGATAGAAAAGAGAGAGAAAGTTTCTTTCGCTTTTGATATAGTAGGCCCACACGTGCCCTTATAATTGCAACATTGTGCCTAAAAGCGTCCCCCGTAATGTAGAAACATATATCAAAATGTACTATGATAAATTTTTATGTTTTGAGCTATTGAAAGCTACTTAGACGTAAAATATATTAAAAAAAAAAATAATGTATTTTGGGAATGCGTCATTCCATCCATTTTCATTAAGAAATATTGATGAGCATCAAGACCATCAGACCACTCGAGCTTGTCTATACAAATTTACGTAATCATTATTTTCTCACATTTATTGCGAGAAGCCATGGATTTACCTGCTAAAGGAAAAGATTTCTGCATCCAAGTGTTTCTAGACGTTGAAAGCAATAGTGGAAAATAAAAACTTGAAGGTGAAAATATAAGTCACCTTAGAGAAAATGCATTTTTGTGGGTTACAGTTAGAACTCCCAAGTCTTTATACAAACCTGTAAGCAAGAAGATAAATATCGACATTTCCAATACTTCAAATGAATACGCATTTAAATTGCTGTCATTCGATTGAATCGCTTCTTTCTTCCACTCTCTCAATGCTCGATTAGAATAACTAAACTTTATGTGCATGGTTCGGAATCACGGAATCTTCACAATAGTATGATATTGTCCACTTTGGGCATAAACACTACCAATGGAGATGTATTCCTTACTTATAAACTCATGATCATGCACTTAATTCAGCCATGTCAATACAATCCTCAAGTGTCGAACAACGAAATTGCTAGCCTCGAAGGTGTAGTCGAAAGTGACTCATGTGTCGAACAAAGGGTGTACTTTGTTCGAGGGCTCCGGAGAAAGAAGTCGAGCCTCGATTAAGAGGAAGCTGTACGAGAGCTACATAAATCTCAAGCGGTACTTTGTTTGAGAATTGTTGAGGATTGTGGGAGGAAGTCCGAAATTGACTAATTTATGGAATGATAATGGGTTTATGAGTTTATAAGTACGGAATACATCTCTATTGGTACGAGGTCTTTTGGGGAAGCCCAAATCAAAACCACAAAACTTATGTACAAAGTGGACAATATTATACGTCGCGATTCTTAACAGAGATTTCAAAACATTTCATGGTTGTAATTATTGGTAACGATAGAATGCGGTGGCTATAAAAAGAAAGAGGTAGGCAGGCATGGTTCTGGGAAGTCAACTCCAATAGAGTTGCATCGGGATCTCATCAGTTTCATGCACGTATCTCACTGTCCACTTGCCCAGAGTTGTGGCTAATGAGCAAAGAAAATGAATTTTATTGGAAAGCTGGGAGATGTTAACGAGGCCAGCAGTTTTTCTTTGTTTTTTCCATTCTTCTTATTCTTTATACCCTTTTTGAGTCTTAATAAGAACCTCAATGAAGTCAAAAGGACATTCTTGAGAAGCATTGACAAAAGTTCAAAGGGAAGAAAGTCTAAGAAAGTTTCAAGCTCAGGTAAATGGCCTGAAATGTTCACACCTAATGGAGTTTCTTTACAACTTATGAATCAGTATCAGAGCCTAAGAAACTCACACCAAAGTAAATCATCATGCTTGGGCTCTGGAGCTTCATGAATGGAATCACATCAAACGAAAACATTCATAACATAATCAATCAAATGAAGAAAGCAGCCTAGCCAAGCCAAGAAATTTTGATTCCAGAAGCAGGTATTAACACAAATGTTCAAACCATCAAAACGTATCCAGAGAATGAACGCTTTCATCCATTTCCTTACCTGTTCTAATTCCTTATCATGTTTTCTCTAAATCTACTTCAAACCGATTTCTATTCTCTTCACCTAAAAACCTTACATCCGTTGCTATCATTCATTCATCAAGTATCAAATTAATTGGAAAAAGCAAAATAAATTCCTGGAGAGGCAAACAATGGCAGAAAGGACAACGATAAGAAAATTCACAGAGAGAGGTGAAGAACATACCTGGAAAAGAAACCATTGAAACTGGTGCATTGGAGGGGGCCGCGCGAACGCAGGCCCCCGCTGCCACAAATTATGACGTAGGCTCTGCCGCTTTGGGCAGACCTTAGACGGGCACCCCTCCTTTATGTGCAATGGAGGTCACCAATCTAGGCCATGGACCTGCTTGATCGCCCATTGACCTCGTCCAGGTAAGTATGTTTCTTGGCTTGCTAGTGTCTTCTATTTATAGTGATCTGATGCTTTCCTGCCGCTAAATTGAGCGATGTGGGTCTTTTCTTATCATAACTTGAGAAACAACGAGTTTATTGATTTTGTTTGGAGTTGAATATAAATGCCCTTAATTTTGAAATTGAAGTATGTGTGAGATTTCGATTTCATAGTTGAATTCAATTATAAAGAAAATTAACACATGGACTCTAGCATGATTAAATCATAAATTTAGTTTATGATATGTCGTATTTGTGTTTAATTGATCCATAAATTTTAAAATGAATAGATTCCGTTGAAATATTTGAAACGCAGTAATCCTTATCGCCTCGAGACTTAGATTAGGCTCGTGGAGCTAATATTTAGCGTCTTGGAAAAGAGAGATAAGATTTAAACGGCCTAGAAATTCTTACAAACCTTGTAGACCTCCACGAAACCAATGATGACTAAAGTAGTTCTTCAGATTGATAGTAGTGTGATAGTGTTTACGGACCTTCCACTACCCTTTCCACTCCTATAACAAGCTAGGCACATGGCAGCAACGATAATGTGAGCTTCAGCATTGTGGAATGGCCAATGGTCTCCTGAATATGGCCATTGTGCTATAAACCCCTTCTTGAGAGAAGAGCGTGGGACTACGTTGGATAGCCTAGCAGCTAACCCGAGCTAACCAGAACATGAGGATCACATACCCCAAGCTTAGGTGACTCTATGGTCATAAGGGATGGTCTAGCCAACCTCCTTTGGATGATGTTTAGAGTAGAAATTATCATATCGGCTCACTAAATTTTATGAGGTCTTGCCTCAAATAAGGTCACCTGTCATTCACTGCGTAAGCAAAGTAAGCTGCCAAGGTTAAAAAGAAGAAAGATTGTAGCAACTCAACAAGAAAAGGTAGCCTCACGACCTAAAATTTTCTACTTAATTTAAGGTCGCTACTGTATACATATCATAAATATTAAATGTGGAAATACTTCATTTAAACTTTCATAAAACATAACATTGAGCTTAAAACACAACCATGAACTTAGTGTTTCGAAAACACCTTTAAAAACGACACAACAAAAGGCTAAATAAAATAAATTAACGTTTAAATTGAAAACATTATATCCTAGTCTAAGTCTAAGAAAATAAATACGACTACCCTATGCATGTGTCATAGTCTCGAGTTGCGATGCCATCGTCAGCCGTGCAGGAATGTCTTGCCTTAACTTGAAATAGAGGTAGCACGTGGCTGGAGTATTTTAAGAAATATTCAGTAAGTGACCCTACTATTGGGGTTAAATGCAAGAACATGCGAATGCAATGACGGGACCTATCATCTCAGTCTAGTTTCGTACGACATTATTCTAATGGGTAGCTTGGATGTGTACCATATACTTTACACACAGCCCATACGTGCAGGTATGGGCTCACCAGATCGTTCGCACACCACTGGGCCCCTTTTCTAGTCGGGGGAGCCTACTCTAGTAGCTCTCCTTATGCCGACACCCATTAGAATTAGTAACCGTCACAACAGCATTATGTAAAACATAATGATACTTCGTCGACCTAGTAGATATACACGTCCGTACCCTCATGATGGAATAGGGGTATCCCCCCATGCATGAGGCCCCAACATTTTTCCATTTTCATTATCATTTAATACAACCCCGCTAACGTTCTATACATATCATATCGTTTTTCTTATCATTTCACATATCGTTCATCATTCGTATCATATTATTTCTCATTCTTCAGTTCTCATATCATAAATAATTCTAACGGAGTTATATTTCATGCAATTTATCATGATTTCATGTAATTCATACATGTTGTACACACACAATTTAGGAGGCATAACATAACGTCTCATACTTTTAACATAACATGTCAATTTATCACATATCTCGTAATAACATATTTCATATAATATGACAACATATATGTACATATCTGTCATTCACATGTCGTATCATAATCATATCATATCGTAAACGCTTCATGGTCATATCGTTCCCTAACTTATCATGGTCATATCGTTCCCTAACTTATCATAGTCTTAATGTTCTTATACCTATCACAGTCATGTCGTTACATGAACGTATCTTAGTCATATCATCACAAGAATGTATCCTAACACTATCGTTCTATCAATTCTATCAATCTATCACACACATATCCTTTCTATCCATAAGCTAACCGTATTCTTTTATCAATCTCTCATATCCATAGCACTTCGGTACCTTTCTATCCATAAGCTAACCGTATTCTTTTATCAATCTCTCATATCCATAGCACTTCGGTATGTAACCTAACCTTAACGTTTCATGAACATATCTTACTCACAAACATAATATATAAAATAGGTCCCACCGAGATTTGAACTCGGGTTACTGGATTCAGAGTCCAATGTCCTAACCACTAGACCATGAGACCACAAATATTTACAAGATCAGTGTGTAATAAATCTCAGAACTTTAAAAAATAAATAGAACTTAAAAAATGACTAATGTATCTTTTTTCAGCTTCGTATTTACTAGGGTTTAAACATATTAAAATTACTTAAATTATTAGATCATACGTACAATTATTCTACAATTCTTTTTCTACGAACATAAAAAGTTGGAAAAGAAGTATTTTTAGAAAAAAAAATTTGAAAGAAAAATTAAAATAGAGAATTTTTCTATTTTAGTTAAACTTGGTAGGGGAATTTCAAGAATTGAACTTAAGACCTCTCACACTCTACGCACTTTGAGTACAAGTTAATAAAATATAGATTGTGAACGCTTTCAAAAATTATCTCTTCTAGCTTTGTTCGGACCAAAGGGCATATGATTCTCCTTCCAGTTATGTCGTAGTGACATGTGGCGCAATTAGAAGGGTCGTAGGTCACTAATTCGATGGAGGCAGTATGGTTGGTTGGTTGTGGATATTGAACCAATTAACCCACGGGTTCGCACTTGCCAACCAAACGCTGACACATGCTGCATAGTAGCCTAGCTGGAGTTCCTCACCGTTTAGCTGACACACGTCTCCATCAATCTCCAACTATCAAATTTAGTGATTTTGTGGTTGGAATAGTTTAGTTGGCTAGGGTGTGTGGCACTTAACCGCAAGGTTATATGTTTAAAAACCCTCCTTCTAACATTTTTCATATTTATTTTTTGTGAATGCCTATCAAATCCTTATCTACCTCTGCATCCATATTTGAATCTTAAGACTAACAGTCTTCGTTACATCAAGCCGACTTTTCCTCCACCGATCTCCACGGTAAGAACTTTAGCCTCATATTATCACTATATTTATTTACCTATCTTAATCTCATTTTGTTCCTGCATTTTTCTATTTGCGATGTAGGTATCTGTCCCCCACTTGAAGGGTTAGTAAAAAAAAAACGAGGTACGACCAAATGTGAGCCAATAAGTTTGACTTAGTAAAAGAAGTTTTTTTGACAAACTTTAGGAGAAATTGTTAGCCGTCATCATCTTGTGGAGCAAATAAAAGAAACTTGTTAGTGATTTGTTTAGGATAACAGTTAATACTTATTAATTCTTGACAAGTTAATAGTCCTTAGAGGTAAGCTTTATTTACTGTCCATAATACTCAAAATTGAAGATTTTATTAGCTTTAAGGGAATAAATGGAGTATGTTTAATTAAGGAGTCGAGGCCTAATTTTCCTCCGACCGAGGAAGAATCGCGTTCTAGACTCAGTTGCAGTTCGAAGAAGAAAATTTAAAATTAACCTCAACCGTGTCAAGTGTCTTCTCAAATTCATTTCTCTAGCTTAAGTGAAGTATAAGGGAAACTTTGTTGAAAGAAAGGTGGCCTAACAGTTCCTGTATCGTCCTACCCAATAACCACACCCCTCTGGGTTTGCTCTGTCAACAAAGTGAGTTTCCTCCCAACTTTGGACGACCATAACCTATGATGTAGTCAATGAACTGGTAAAATACCAATCCCAAAATCTTATTTGACACTTCATCTTTAAGTTTCATAAAGGAATTGAGGGGAGAAATGCCTTAGAATGGGCTGGCGAAAGCCATTTTCAGACGAGAACAAATTTTTGTCCCTTCTTGGTTTTTTATTAAATTGAACCCCTTCAGAGATTGTTCTCACAAAGTTAACCATGGTTCTAGAAACTAGACTCACTAAGGAGGCTACCAAAGAAAATTTGGAGGTCGATTACCAAAGCTCAAAAAATGAGGCCCCAAACACAAGACATGAGGTAAGTAGCAATTTTAACTTTTCGCAAGAAATACCGGTAGAAATCACTTGAAGACTATATGAACCTTAAATTAGGTATGAATTAAGAAAACACTTAGAATTATGAGTTAACCAAATTGCTTTGAATTTAAGTAACGTTAAACCGACTAAATTTTTAATTTTGACCATATCATGGCATGTTGAGATTGTGTATGAAATTTGGTGTACATTAGACGAGAGGGAGTAGCTAAACCAAAAAATGGTGTAAAATGACACTAATACCCCTCTTGCAAATTTACCTTGTTTATGACTTTTAAGACCCCTATGTAACGTGAGACTTCTTACATAATCTTATGGTAACTTTATCAAGATACTAGTAAGTGTTCATGCTCATTGGACCACGTTAGCTTGCCCTTTAGCTTTTACCTAAATTAAAACCGTTAAGTTTTAAGCCTACCATGTGGTATTATGTACAAGCCTAGGTTCACTAACAATCCATGTGCCAAGAATGAACCTGGGATTATTTGAATAACGGATTCTTGCCTAGAAGTAACCATTATCTCCCATCACGAGGTTGTTGTGCTCCAAAAGCGGAATAAATGTACTCACAACACCAAGGAACAAAATTACACAAAGAGACACCAAGATATTTACATGGTTTGGAGAGAAGAAGTTTTCCTACATCCACGAGTAGCAACCAATCACTAATAAACAAAGTGAATACCTCACTATCACACTACAAAGCCTCTCACCAATATGTCACTCAAAAAATACAATGTGACACCCA